GTGCAGAACGAGGGCTCCTGGAATTCCTACGTGGATTACAAGATCTTCCTGCACGTGAGCTGGGAGCGGGATCAGCCCTGGGAATGTCCCGAGCCATGGAGGGGAATCCTTGGGATCCTGTCCTGGGCTGGCTCCCGGATCCGGCAGGGATGGAGATCCAGCCCCTCAATCCCAGGGATAATTCCCATGAAAACACCCAGCCTGGATCCTCTGTCCAGGCCGGATCCAGCCCCCTGATCCCATGGAGAATTCCCATGGAGAATTCCCATGCTGGATCCTCTGTCCAGGCAGATCCAGCCCCTCGATCCCAGCGATAATTCCCATGGAGAATTCAAACAGTTCTTTTCCTTGCTGGATCCCTCAGTCACTGAAATCCAGTCCCTCGATTCCATGGATAATTCCCAGGGATCATTCCCATGGATGATTCCTATCCTGGATCCTTCAGCCCTTGAGCTCTGTCTAGGCAGATCCAGCCCTTCAATCCCAGGGATGATTCCCAGGGATAATTCCCACCCTGGATCCTCAGATCCAGCCCTCAGTTGCATGGATGATTCCCAGGGATCCCTCTCTGGGATAATTCCCAGTGATCCCTCCCCGGATACCTCCCATGGTCATTCCCAGGGGTATATCCCAGGGATCCCACCCAGTGTAATTCCCAGGGATCTTTTCCAGCAATTCCTCCCGGATCCCTCCCAGAAATCCCCCCCGCCATGATCCCTCCTGGATCCTTCCCAGAGTAATTCCTGCAGTCATTCCCAATGGTCCCTCCCAGTGATCCGTGCCCGGGTTCCTTCCCCATGATCCCTCCCATGGTCATTCCCAGCGATCCCTCCCGGATCCCGCCGGGATCCCTCCGGGGCCGCTGCCATTCCGGTGTTTTTCCCAGACCAACAGCAAGGCCTTCACCGCCAAGACGTCGTGCGTGCGGCGCCGCTACCGCGAGTTCGTGTGGCTGCGGCGGCAGCTCCAGCGCAACGCCGGCTCCGTGTAAGGGCTGCGGGATTCTGCCAGAAATCCCGGGGTTTGGCATCGCCCGGGGCCAAAATCCCACAGATTTCCCAGGCTCCATGTAAGGGCTGCGGGATTCCGCCCCAAATCCGGGATCTGGGATCGCCCAGGGCCAAAATCCCACAGATTTCCCAGGCTCCGTGTAAGGGCTGCGGGATTCCGCCCCAAATCCCGGGATCTGGGATCGCCCGGGGCCAAAATCCC